GATGGATAACTCTCGAGAAACCGCGGACGATCCAGGATGCGCTCCATAAGGCCACCGACTTCATAACCATCGAGGAGGAAACTAAAGTCCTGTCCGAGAAGCATAAGCCGACGAAAACATCCGCAAGGGATAACGCGTCCGAGCAGAAGCAGAAAAAGAAGAGCTCTCGTAACGACAAATTCGTCCATCACGAGGGACAAGATCTCCGAGGGGCGCATAACTACGCTATCAACTCCGGTTCGGAGCAAAGGCAAACTACGGGTAACACGTGGACGAGAAATTCGAATTACGACGAGAATTCTTTCTGCGACCTCCACCAAACCCATGGTCATTCCACCGTAAACTGCAAAGTTCTCGGCGCCAGACTGGCCGCAAAGCTAGTCGCGGCAGAACTTTCCGAGATATCAAGTGTCAAGGATCTCATCCGCGATTCGGACCGCGTCCCGAAGAATGACAAAAACGCGCAAACCCCGCCTCAGGGAAATCAGTCGGGCGAAAAACACGGAAGAAAAACAGACGAGAAGGGGAACGACGCTAACCGCCGTAAAATCAACATGATTATCGGCGAATCGCCATACTTTAACGACACCGTCTCGTTGATAAAATCCTACCAACGTAAAGCCGAAACCGGCTCGAGTTGGAAGGTACCGATGGACGATTCTCCGACAGGAGTAATCTCTTTCAACGATGCTGAAACCGGCGGAATCGACCAACCGCATGCCGATCCCCTTGTCATCGATTTGGTGATAAGCGATCTAGAGGTTGTGCGAATCCTGGTTGATACCGGAAGCACGGTCAACGTCATCTTCCGCAACACGCTAGCGCGAATGGGAATCGACCTCTCGGAAGTCGAGCCGATTCCAAAACCACTGATTAGTTTCTCCGGCGAAACGTCAATGACCTTGGGATCAATCCGACTACCGGTCGTCGCGAAAGAAGGGACGAGAATCGTTAACTTCGCGGTAGTCGACGTCCCGGCTATCTACAACGTGATTATGGGCACGCCTTGGATAAATTCCATGAAGGCGGTTCTGTCCACGTATCACTTAGGCATCAAATTCCCGACGCCTACGGGAGTCGCAGTAATTTGGGGATGCCAAAGACAGTCGCGATCTTGCTTCCTGGCCGAACATAAGCTG